GGGGAAAAGAATGTCAGTGAGAATGATAACGAGAGTGAATTCCCACACGGCCAGGTGGAGATGTCTTTGCCTCCTTTGCCTTCTCACGGTGATCCAGTCCACCTGCTGGACCAAAATGATAAGRGGTTAGAGAGCCATGAAGATAACAAATTAACKAGCAGGCAAGATYGTCTGCAATTAAGGGTCCGGAGAAGCTCTCGCCTGGCAAGCAAGCGAGAAGCCAAGTGTGCCAAAGGTCATCGCAATGCCTTCATGTCTGCAAAGGGTATTTATTTAGCCTTCTCACTGACACACAGGTGTTGTCAGTTCAACGTGGCTCTTTCCATGCAAACTTCTATGGATTAACCTTGGCCTTAAGCAGCACGCTTCTGGCTTCCTGAGTCTGGGATTTTGGGTTCTTGTGTACAACTGTTTTTCATGGACTATTGTTTGACCATTGCTTAAAGGATTATGTTTCATGTTTTTGCTTTTGGATCTTGGGAACTGTGTCTTGGCATTTCTCATACTATGTTTTGACTTTACCTTTTCTTTACCTTATCTACAGCTTTGGTGTGGTGGTGTTTGGGAGCAAGGGGAAACCTACCCTGAGTTGCAACAGTCTGTATGTCCCTGCAATCAAAAATCAAGGATTTTTTAAAATCTGGGTTCGTTCCCCAGTTTTAGATGTTTGTTCCTGATTGGTCAGTTCCTAAAAAGAAGCTAGCACTTGGGTAGAAGGCAAAAACTTTGCTTGTGTGCCAGAAACTGAGATTGGAGGTGACCCCTCCCCCCAGGACTCTATAAAATATAGTTCAAAATCAGGGAATTCATAGCTTTGCCAAGGATACCAGGCGGGAATGATCCCATAATCCCCTATCTCTCCCTCTTGTGGGAACCTACGGCTTCTTCCATGGCCCTATGGCCCAACTCTTATGAACTTTTCCCCACTTTCATAAACCTTATCGAACTTTAATCAACTTTTAAAGGACTTTGGAACTCTTGGGAACCCTCTTGCCAAAACCCTATGAATTCATATATTTTTCACCAATCTTTATGGAGTTTTGATGAACTTTGGAGGGATGGAAGGCTGACATGGTTCCCCTTTGCCTTTGCATGATCTATGCCTTATGAATTCCTTGTATGTTCCCCTTCCCTATATCATTATATGTGTTTCTATATATTTATATGAAAAATGAAGGAAAAGCCACCTTTTCATGAAACCAGCACCCTATGGCTCCAGGAAGCTGTTCCCAATTTCTAAATCCCTAGACAAAGGTTTCACCAAGCTCACTTGCATGGACAATAAGAACAAATGGCTCTTATCAGGCCAGACCTCGGAGGGCAAAAGCCAGGCCATCTGGCCTGAAAGGATTAGTCACCCAACACAAAGGGTGTCTTCCTATCTGCGAGGAACCAGACATTTCACCACAGCCTTTCCAATTGTGTCAATCCCAACCGGCCGAAACCAACCTCAAACTTCATCTATGAACTCCATATCCCAGCACTATAAGACAAAGGATCTAGCCCTTTGGGGGCTAGACAGAAAATGATGATTCAAAGGACTAAAACAATAACTCTGATCTGACTTGAGAGCTTAAGCTATCGTTGGGTCGTTTGGCAAACACTGGTCACCCTAATCCTGACAACTAGACATTTCTTCATTTGTTTCCCTATTGCCTGCCACCTTTCCCCCTCATTGGCTGAGTGGCTAAAGCAGGGCTCAGGCCACCATTGGCTCTCCTGTGGGCTTCCTGACATCACAGCCAATCATAACAAAGCCAGATCGCGGGGGGGGGGGGCGAGAGGGGAGGGCATGGGAACTTTTGAATCTGAAGGCTATAAATATTGTATATTTTTGCCCACTGGGCATGTCATTTTTGTTGGAAGATTACTGCAATCGTCATCCTTTCCAGCTGGAATGAAATAAAAACCTTGGTGGTTTTCTCTTCAACTTGGTGAGATTTATTCTGTAATACTGGCCTCTCTTTCTCACCCCAATGGCTTGGGTTTATCCACAGCCATTGTAAATTGCTCAACAACAAAGTCTGGACAACGGAGGCAGAAATCCTGGGACCAACAGGTATGTGGACCTCTTCTGAAGTTCCAGGATTTTTTGCCCCTAATTTAGTGCTGTCTGGAAGTGCCCCCAGTCTGTGATAAGAGCAGCCATAGGATATGACAGTTTTCTTTTCTCTCATAACTACAATGTCAGGAAGCAATTTCCCCCCCAATAAAATGCTGACATTGTCTGAGTCTAGCAAAAAATAATTCTCGACTGTCACATGCAGGCTGCCCAGTTGCCATTACTCTTCTTTCAACCCATTCCCTCGACCCAAAACTCCAAAATAAATGTCTCCCAGCAGAAACAACCAACAAACACAGCATTGCTGCCACTGGAAAAGTAAGATATGTCCACCCAAATCTCGCAACAGTATGAATGGGAAATCAATGGGAGCCCGAAACGACTCCTATTTGATCCAATGGCAATTTTTGGCAATCCTGAACAGACAGCGAAGCACAACAGTGTCATGAAAAGTCTTCTTCTTTCACTGAAGCAGATGGAAGGGAAATGGTTGGTCTTTCCCAGGGAAACAACACCTACAGACAACCGATGGCTGTTTTCAGATCGGCTTGCTCTGTGCCGTTTGAGCATCCAAGTCCCCCTCAAGAAATTGGCGCAGGCTCACCATTCTCTCTGAGGATGACCGGGCGGCCGCAGTGTGCAGGGCATCAGGGTCTGCTGATTTGCGGAGCCGGAAGCGTGTTCCCAAGGCGCCACAGTTTGTCAAGGTGATGGTGCGTGAAATTGTCTCTCCCACCACATGAGCGCCAAAGTCAATGAGCTCTTTATCTAGTGCGAGCTGAGGAAAAAAAATACGAGCGGCATTCATGTGTGTATCTGTATCACTCGTTAAACAAACCCTTTCCCTTTTGAACAAAAGGAATATTATAGTCAAGCCAATTCCAAAGGCAATGCCATAGAGTGGTGTTTCTCAACCCTTCCTAATGCCGCGACCCCTTAATACAGTTCCTCATGTTGTTGTGGTGACCCCCAACCATACAATTATTTTCGTTGCTACTTCATAGCTGTAATTTTGCTCCTGTTATGAATCGTAATGCAAATATCTGATATGCAGGATGCATTTTCATTCACTGGACCAAACTTGGCACAAATACCCAATACAACCAAATTTGAATACTTGGGGAGTTTGGGGGGAACTAATCCTCCTTTCTGGGAGTTGCAGTTCACCTATATCCAGAGAAACTGCGACCACCACCAATGATGAATCTGGACCTGACTTGGCACACAGAACCCGCATGAGCAAGTGAACCTACTGGAATGGTTTGAGGGGACTGACTCACCATGGTGGGAGCTGTAGTTCATCCTACTACCAGAGACCACATGGACCCCACTGATTATGCATCTAGAGAGCAAACTTGCCCACCACAACAAACTTTAAACAATGGTGATGGAGTTTCAGGGAGTTAACCTGGTATGATGTGAGTTATAGTTATCCCATAACCTTATGCATTTTGTAAAATTAATAAATGACTTTTTTCAAATAACCTGGGCAATGTTGGATACCCAACAGACCTAACCCAGGCACTGCTGGGTACCTAAGCAATAATGATGATGATGACAATGACTCTGGCACAAGCCAGTCAAGGTGGTCCCAGTGGTGTTCGGCACATTGGGCGCAGTGCCTAAAGACCTTGGCCTGCACTTAAACACAATTGGCGCTGACAAGATTACCATCTGCCAGCTGCAGAAGGCCATCTTACTGGGATCTGCACGCATTATTCGCCGATACATCACACAGTCCTAGACACTTGGGAAGTGTCCGACGTGTGATCCATTACCAGCCAGCAGAGTGTCTGCTGTGGACTCATCTTGTTGAGTTTCAAATAATAATAATAATAACAACAACACAGTCCTAGACTTGGGAAGGGTCCGATGTGTGATCCAATACAACAGCCAGCAGAGTGTCTGCTGTGGAGTCATCTTGTTGTGGTTCAAATAATAATAATAATAATAATAATAATAATAATAATAATAATAGACACTTGGGAAGTGTCCGACGTGTGGTTCAATACAACATAAATGATCTTGTTTGCTGTGGACTCATCTTGTTGTGTTCAAATAATAATAATAATAATAATAATAATAATAATAATAATATAATAATAGACACTTGGGAAGTGTCCGACGTGTGTCAATACAACAGACAGCAGAGTGTCTGCTGTGGACTCATCTTGTTGTAGTTCAAATAATAATATAATATCTGGCCACTGATTCTCGGTTATACGCCCCTACTCCTGATTGAATAAACATAATAAACATAATAAACATAATAAACATAAACATAATAATAATAATAATAATAATAATAATAATATAGACACTCTGCTGGCTGTTGAATTGGGTAGAAATTTTTGATCCAATTCAACAGCTAGCAGAGTGTCTGCTGTGGATTCATCTTGTTGTGTTTCAAATAATAATAATAATAATAATAATAATAATAATAATAATAATAATAGACACTTGGGAAGTGTCCGACATGTGATCCACTGCAACAGCCAGCAGAGTGTCTGCTGTGGACTCATCTTGTTTTGTTCAATAATAATAATAATAATAATAATAATAATAATAATAATAATAATAACATTTGAATGACATGTGATCCAATCAACAGCCAGCAGAGTGTCTGCTGTGGACTCATCTTTTGTCTCAAATAATAATAATAATAATAATAATAATAATAATAATAATAATAGACACTTGGGAAGTGTCCGACGTGTAATTCAATACAACAGACAGCAGAGTGTCTGCTGTGGACTCATCTTGTTCTGTTTCTAATAATAATAATAATAATAATAATAATAATAATAATAATAATAATAATAGACACTTGGGAAGTGTCCGACGTGTGGTTCAATACAACAGACAGCAGAGTGTCTGCTGTGGACTCATCTTGTTGTGGTTCAAATAATAATAATAATAATAATAATAATAATAATAATAGACACTTGGGAAGGGTCCGACGTGTGATTCAATACAACAGCCAGCAGAGTGTCTGCTGTGGACTCATCTTGTTGTGGTTCAAATAATAATAATAATAATAATAATAATAATAATAATAATAATAATAATAATAGACACTTGGGAAGTGTCCGACGTGTAATTCAATACAACAGACAGCAGAGTGTCTGCTGTGGACTCATCTTGTTCTGTTTCTAATAATAATAATAATAATAATAATAATAATAGACACTTGGGAAGTGCCCGACGTGTGGTTCAATACAACAGACAGCAGAGTGTCTGCTGTGGACTCATCTTGTTGTGGTAATAATAATAATAATAATAATAATAATAATAATAGACACTTGGGAAGTGTCCGACGTGTAATTCAATACAACAGACAGCAGAGTGTCTGCTGTGGACTCATCTTGTTCTGTTTCTAATAATAATAATAATAATAATAATAATAATAATAATAATAATAGACACTTGGGAAGTGCCCGACGTGTGGTTCAATACAACAGACAGCAGAGTGTCTGCTGTGGACTCATCTTGTTGTGGTTCAAATAATAATAATAATAATAATAATAATAATAATAATAGACACTTGGGAAGTGTCCGACGTGGTTCAATACAACAGACAGCAGAGTGTCTGCTGTGGAGTCATCTTGTTGTGGTTCAAATAATAATAATAATAATAATAATAATAATAATAATAATAGACACTTGGGAAGTGTCCGACGTGTGATTCAATACAACAGACAGCAGAGTGTCTGCTGTGGACTCATCTTGTTGTGGTTCAAATAATAATAATAATAATAATAATAATAATAATAATAATAATAATAATAGACACTTGGGAAGTGTCCGACGTGTAATTCAATACAACAGACAGCAGAGTGTCTGCTGTGGACTCATCTTGTTCTGTTTCTAATAATAATAATAATAATAATAATAATAATAATAATAATAATAATAGACACTTGGGAAGTGCCCGACGTGTGGTTCAATACAACAGACAGCAGAGTGTCTGCTGTGGACTCATCTTGTTGTGGTTCAAATAATAATAATAATAATAATAATAATAATAATAATAATAATAATAGACACTTGGGAAGGGTCCGACGTGTGATTCAATACAACAGCCAGCAGAGTGTCTGCTGTGGACTCATCTTGTTGTGTTTCAAATAATAATAATAATAATAATAATAATAATAATAATAATAATAATAATAGACACTTGGGAAGTGTCCGACGTGTAATTCAATACAACAGACAGCAGAGTGTCTGCTGTGGACTCATCTTGTTCTGTTTCTAATAATAATAATAATAATAATAATAATAATAGACACTTGGGAAGTGCCCGACGTGTGGTTCAATACAACAGACAGCAGAGTGTCTGCTGTGGACTCATCTTGTTGTGGTTCAAATAATAATAATAATATTAATAATAATAATAATAGACACTTGGGAAGTGTCCGACGTGTAATTCAATACAACAGACAGCAGAGTGTCTGCTGTGGACTCATCTTGTTCTGTTTCTAATAATAATAATAATAATAATAATAATAATAATAGACACTTGGGAAGTGCCCGACGTGTGGTTCAATACAACAGACAGCAGAGTGTCTGCTGTGGACTCATCTTGTTGTGGTTCAAATAATAATAATAATAATAATAATAATAATAATAATAGACACTTGGGAAGTGTCCGATGTGTGATTCAATACAACAGACAGCAGAGTGTCTGCTGTGGAGTCATCTTGTTCTGTTTCTAATAATAATAATAATAATAATAATAATAATAATAATAGACACTTGGGAAGTGTCCGACGTGTGATCCAATACAACAGCTGAGTGATGTTGTCTGCTGTGGACTCATCTTGTTGTGGTTCTAATAATAATAATAATAATAATAATAATAATAATAATAATAATAATAGACACTTGGGAAGGGTCCGACGTGTGATTCAATACAACAGCCAGCAGAGTGTCTGCTGTGGACTCATCTTGTTGTGGTTCAAATAATAATAATAATAATAATAATAATAATAATAATAATAATAATAGACACTTGGGAAGTGTCCGACGTGTGATTCAATACAACAGACAGCAGAGTGTCTGCTGTGGAGTCATCTTGTTGTGTTTCTAATAATAATAATAATAATAATAATAATAATAATAATAATCGTGGGTTGTGGGCGGCAGGAGGGAGGGAGGGAGGAAGAGGGGAGGAGGGAGAGAGAGAGGAGGGGGGGAAATCTCTAGCGGCGGGAGGGAGAGGAGAGGAGGCGAGGAGAGAGAGAGAGGAGAGAGCATAAGAGTTCACTAAGGGGGAAAGAAGAGAAAGGAGGAGGGGAAGAAGGAGAGAAGGCCGGGCGAGGGAGGAGGGAAGAGAACGGGCGAGAAGAGAACGGATATGAGAAGAAGGAGAGAAGGGGGAGGGGGAGGAGGAAGGAGAGAGAGAGAGGGAGGGGGGGGAGGGAGGG